GGGCTTCACTGTAATCACACTGCTCTGGATGGCTGTGATGTGCAGTGTGCCAGAGCAGTGTGCCCGAACTGACAGTCATCCTCCTCGTTGGAGATGCTCAGTGATCACCGGGCGCCAGTGGGTAATCACTGGCCGGGACCCGGTGATTGACAGCTGCAGCTGCGAATGGCGGCGCGGGTAGGGCTTGCACTCGCCCCCTACCCAGAAACACGTAATCACGTATAAATAGAGTATATAATTTTGCCCACCCCTGCCACCCTGTAGCAGTATATCTGCTATAGGGTGGTCGGGTAGCAGTTAAAAAACAGAAAAATGTATTAAAACAATGTAAATAATGTCCTGTGATGTAGATCCATCATCAGTCATGTTGTTCAGCAGCTTAAATCTATTACAATCACATTGTCCAGGGATGTAAAGCTGGATATACATGTGTCAGTTTTTCAAGGTGGATGCAGGAATCCTCTCCACTGTGTCTTTGTATTCTGACAGCAGGGAGACTCCCCCGCTATCAGAATACACTGCTCAGTGCTGCAGTGTATTGCCCAGAAATCAAAGGAAATACTCATGCACTACCGCAGACGGATCAATGTACTGTATGTAAGAAAACTGAAGCTGCTGCAAAAACCTCAATGTGTTCCCACATCAACAACTTAAATACAATAAAATAGTGCTGCGCTGCTATCTAAAAATCAAAGAAAACAAAAAGGATAACTATTAGCTATTATCCATGAGTGACAATATAAATGTGAATCACATGGGATATAAAAAAAAAAAAAAACAATCTGTCAGATCTCAAACATACAAATAGTAAAGGATACCAAACTCAGTGGAAAATAAAACCCATATAATATGTGTAAAAGGGAAATGGAAGAATGCAAACGTAAACACCTAGCTGAGTTCTCAAAAATTATAAATATTAATAAGCAAATAGATCCAAAGTGAGATTTTCCAAAGAAATAATACACAATCGGCTGAGCATAATCTATAGTGAGTGAATGAGTAACAGTTTTCCAATCCCAATATTGTGAGAGGGTATTAACAACACCAACAGTAAACCACCGGCTGAGAAAATACACAACAAAATTAATATGACAATAAAACAGTGTAAAATAAAAACTAGATATATAAATAAATACTAATATTAAAGACAAATATGCATATATAAACACCTGGATGAGCTCCCACCATAAAAAGTTGTAATATCACAAATCTACTAGTGTGAAAAATAAGTAAAGTCCCAAAATTAAAATTAAAGTGAATGTGTAACACAGTCTTTTTGGCCAAAATCTTCCAATCTGTAGCATAATTCACCGTTGACTTGCAGGTACAAATAATCACCACACATGCTCCTCCACTTTCCAGCATACACACTCACGCTCTATGGCTGACCTATAGAATGTCGGATCAATATCCAGATGGATCTTAGAATTCCACAGGTCTCCTCAGGTTTAGATATAATAATCCTTAGCAATACCACTTCAATGGAACAGAGAACTTCTCATAGTGCAGTAAATTATTAAGACGTAAAAGAAACAAAATGCTACTCACAAATTAAAAAGGGTTCACAGAACCCATTCAGGCATATAACAACCATGTACAGAGACTAGGTGTAGCAAGATGGCCATCTGTCCACAACCAGAAATGACGCCACCACGCTTCTATCCTACATGTTGCGTCATGAGTAACGTGACTTCATCAGGGATATATTGCCTGGTGTGCAGATTGATCGAGAATATACTGACAGGGTGGTTGAACAGAGGTTGATTCAACAAGGAATTTGGACAGATCAACTGACCAATTAGAGGCAGTTTTTTTCAGGGAAAGGCTGAGTTTGGGTCAGAGTATCCAAACCTCAATCTTGTCCTTAGTAATGACTTGCAGACGAACCAAGGAAGTTCCTACTGCAACACAGGAGCTAACAATTTTTTTTTTTCTGCTTGTTTAAGTATAAATACTGATTAGCAATATTCTATTTTTGCTAATCAGTTTAAATACGCTGAAGGTTTAGAGCAGAAACCCCACTAAAATCCAGAAACCCATACAGTATTATTAAATAAATAGCGTAGGGAGAAAAGCTGTAAATTCAGTAAGCCATGGCATGCAGAAAATAATCTGGACTTTGCCCTTTGATCCTTGCACTTTCTGAATATGCCTGTTTTATTGTTTTTGTATTGTTTTTTTCAATACAATTTTATTAAGCATTTTAAGCATCCATGGAGACAATGCAGTACAAGACAATAACATTAGAGTACACCTAGTCTCACTTAGAATTAGTACAATTTTGTCCAGCTTAGTAAGTGAGACAGTTTTAATTGACCATCTATACTTGCTTGTATCTACCCTACAATAGGTATGGTCTGTATTGGGCCTGGGTATCAAGCATATGGCTGCTTCTCTCAAAGACCCATCTGCTTGGACCACATTGTAGACAAGCATCAGCTCTGGGACTAAAATATCTGCAAACTTTTTATAGTAAAGTGCAATATCTGCCATCTGGGCCTGGTAGTTTCTTCATTTTAAGTGATTTGGTCACTGACAAGACTTCCATAAGGGAGATTGAGGTCTCCAGAAATTGCAGGAGATCTTCAGAAATAGGTAAAGGCAGTTCAGAAAGAAAAGTAAGGAAGGATCTGCACTGCCATAGATGCTCTTTAGATGCATACATTTATTTGAAGACCACAGCACATGCTGTGGTCTTCAAATAAATGTAAGCATCTAAAGAGCATCTATGGTCGTGCGGATCCTTCCTTACCTTACTATTGCATACTATTGAGCAACTGTGGATCGGCCACCTGTGGCTCTTCTTCAATCAAGATATGTGGGTAGTTGTTATTTCGTTGTGTGTATTTCAGTTCAGAAAAAAATGCTTCAGCAGCTGATTTGTTGAAAATAGCTGGGGCTTGGACATCCTTTGGTTAAACATTTATAGTACCATCAGATTATCCTAACAGTGTTACTGATGAATTCTAAATGATTTGTCTTAAAGTGTATAGGTTTCTGGAGTTGATCTGGTCTGTGTAATCTATTAGTTAGAAGGATACCAGGTTTGTTCCAATGTATGTAAATTTATTCTTAGTCCATCACATTTGTTTTTACGCCTGAGAGGTAATGCATAAATTAAGCTGAGTTTTGAACAGCAGACAGTCGTTTCCTGAGCCCTAAAGAGGGATTGGATTTATATTGGGCAGTAACTGTCGGGAATTACTTTTCAAGTTGTTTAAGGTTAAAAAGTTCCTTGTTTTTTAAATTAGAATGAAATGTATATTAGACAGCCTCAGAGCACTAATTTATGTGCATTCCAAAGGGTTTCTGGCACAATGTCTGGGGTCAAATTTAAGGTAAAATATTCCGTTAGTGAGATTGTAATTTTGTGTGCCACCTCAGGACTACTTAGAAGAAAGGTACTATCAGGTACTACCTACCATTCAGGTCCTATCTACCATTATGTCATTTTTCAAAAAACAGCAAAAAATTGATATAATGGCATTGTGATCTGACCATGGGATGGCTGCTATGTCACTGGAGCCCAGCTGAGGCAGAATGTGGGTAGGAACAAAGATTTGGTCCACTCTAGAGACTACTTTGTGGGTTGTAAATAGTCTTCGTAGGCTTGTTCATTTGGGTGGAATTCTTTCCTAGAGTTTACCAATTATTATTGTAGTGTTTTCTTTTTTTTTTTTTAATTTTCTATAGTTATGTCATGTTATGTTATGCAGCCTATGTAGATGCAAATAGTGCACAGTTATTATTTGGGCACCGATTGCCTATAAACAAAGCACATAACTTCACATGTAGTATACAGGATGTGCTGTGAAACGTAGATGGGGCCTACAAGCAATGTCTAGCTGTAAGCAAATCCAGCAGGTATCAGCAATGAAGGCATTTTTAGTCTTCATGCACACTTGACGTTTTTACAGCGGCTGTTTTTTGCTTTTGCCTTTTTTTTTCTACTGCTAGTAAACCCCTCAGCATGTTATCCTATGTGTCCATGCACACATAGACTGTAATCAATGTTTTTTTGGCAGGGACGTTTTTTGGCTGGAAAAAAAACCCAGGACTAGTGGGTTTCTAGAGGAGTTTTTTTTAGCTGTAAAAATGCTCTAACACTGAAAAACGCAATAAAACGCAGTAAACTGCTGCAAACCGGCATTTTTGGACTTTTTTTGACCAAAACAAATTTTTTTTCTTTGGTTAAAGAAATGCTAAAAAACACAAACGGGGCAAAATGCCACTAAACACCTCTGAACTCCAATGCAAAAAACGCTAAAAAAAAAAGCTGAAAAGCTCAAGTTTTTAACATGACTTTACACAGCTAACGTTACCAGCGTTATCAAAACATCCAGTGTGCATGAGGACTTATCATCGATGCCAGTGATTGCACTGAAGGAGAAAGTGTAGAGTAGTGTCAAAGTATACTTTGGCACAAACAGCATATTATTCTGATTTTTCTCTTTAAGTAGACACAAAGAGGTTGATTTACTTAAGGCAAATAGACTGTTCACTTTGCAAGGGAAGTTGCACTGTGCAAGGGGATTTTCCCCAGACCTTTGTTGAAGCTATGATCATTTCCATCATCCAATCAAATGTGAGCAAAAAAAATTTTTTTCCTTGCACCTGACTGGATATTCTTTGCAAAGTGAAATTTCACCACATTCACTGACCAAAATGCAATTTTCCTTGCAAAGTGAACAACCTATTTGCCTTTAGTAAATCAACCCCAGTGATTTGCACATTGACATATTTCCCATCAACACTTATGGAAACGCATTAGTTTATTTTAACATCAAAGCAACTATTCCTTTAGAAATGTAAGAAATGTTTTTGTAATTTTAAAAAATATTTTAGTGAGAAAATAGGCAATTCTTAATGGCCAGACTGGTATTTCTATAGTCCAACATTGCAAGGCGCTTTAGATTTCACACCACTTTAACTGCATTACGTGTGTTTTGTTAACAGATGGAGCTGCTGAAGAAGCAGGACTTCAGGTGGGCGACATAGTAATGGCTGTTAATGGAACTGATGTCACCAGTATTCCGCACTCAGAAGCTGCATGCTTAGCAAGACAAGGTGAGGTCTCATCTTAATGTAATGAGTTTTACTGTGTATAGTACCTATATAGTATATATATGCCTTAAAAAATATAGTTGGCAGATTAAAATTCATTAGTTTTGCCTAGTTGTTATGATTATTTTCGGTAGCTGCATAATACACTAGCTGTTAGATATGGACTACAATGTGACATCATTAAGATGCCTTACTTTTGTATTATTCCTTGTACTTGTGCCTGATGCACAAACAGGGAAGTAAGGGAAAATTTCAGGTTGCCCATAGTCCTTGTTTTATTTTCAACTTTGCTCTGCAGAAATGACAGGAATTTTCTTTTCATTGCATTTTGTAACCATAAGCCCCAATGTGTTACTGTTCGGTGCTTCATTAATTATTTTTACTCCATTTTTTTTTTTTTTATTTCTTACATCAATTATTTGTGATTTTGTTTTTTAATATTGTAACCTGAGGGGTAGGCTTATTACTTTTTGCTAATATTTGAGGCAAATTGACTTTGAGTGAGGGATTTGTTTTTACAAATTAGGAAACTAACCTTCAGTTAATTAAAATTTGCATAGTGAACAAAGGCATCCTTGGTTTACATTCACCGCATATCACATGTCAGTAAATCAGTCTGTAAATCCTAATGATTACCCTTTCTAAATATGCCAGTGGAGGATAATCCCCCAACCCAACCATTTTGAGTATGATCAGGTGAGAATCCAACATTAATTTGACCACCCCTGATATGCAGATAACTGTTTTTGGAAGACCAAGTGATCAGATACAATAGAAATTCTTGCCTGATCACTATTATTTCTCACAAAATAATCTTGCCCCAGGCACTACTTGCTATGCCTATCTCCTTCCACCACTGCCGAAACAGCAACATTCCTGCAACCAGAGATTTTACACAGAAGCTGGTCCAAAAGGCATAACTAACGTCTAACATCAACATCTAGGTATTACTAATGCCATAGGTGTTTAGAACACTCTTCGAGGATGTCAAGATCTCATTATTGTATACATGATCTGCCCATTTACGGCCAGCCATAGCTATGTTATGCCCAAACTACTGCTGAGGTTGCTTTCCATGATTTACTTTTGTAGACTGAAAACTAAACTTCACGTGAATCTACTTAAAGAGGCCTTGTCACTAAATCATTAATTTCATCAAAAATCTTCCCATAAGATGATATGTGTATTTAACTTATTTTATGCATGTTATTTACCTGGAATTGCCTCCTTTGAGTAGACATCCAAAAGCGCTGATGCCACCACCTTTGATGGGTTGTCAGCATACTCAAAGTCCCCCACCCCAGCTACTACATATAAAGATATGTAGGGAGGTGATGAGAGGAGTGAAGATGCTGGGTCAGCACAGACAGCAGTTAGACACTCCCAGATGAACAGAGATCTATATCATCCTTGGAGGGAGGGGGCTGTGCTAGGGAATTGACTTTGCTAGAGTAGTTGCATTTTTTAGTAAAAAAGATCAAAGGAACGTGGTAAGTACACTGCTCAAAAAAATAAAGGAACACTTTTTAATCAGAGTATAGCATCAGAGTCAACTCCTGGGATATTGATCTGATCATTTAAGTAGCAGAGGATGTTGTTAATCAGTTTCAGCTGCTTTGGTTTAAATTAAATTAACAACTGGTGCACTAGATGGGGAACAATGAGATGACCCCCAAAACAGGAATGGTTTTACAGGTGGAGGCCACTGACATTTTTTCCCTACTCATCTTTTCTGACTGTTTTTCACTAGTTTTGCATTTGGCTAGGGTCAGTGTCACTACTGGTAGCATGAGCTGGACCCTACAGAGGTTGCACAGGCAGTCCAACTCCTCCAGGATGGCATATCAATATATGCCACTGCCAGAAGGTTTGCTGTGTCACCCAGAACAGTCTCAACAGCAGGACTGGTATCTGCTCCTTTGTGTAAGGAGGAACAGGATGAGCAATGCCAGAGCCCTACAAAATGACCTCCAGTAGCAGGCCACTGGTGTGAATATATCTGACCAAACAATCAGAATAAGACTTCATGAGGGTGGCCTGAGGACCCGACATCCTCTAGTGGGCCCTGTGCTCACTGCCCGGCACCACAGAGCTCAATTTGACATTTGCCACTGAACACCAGAATTGGTAGGTCCGCCACTGGTGCCTCGTGCTTTTCACAGATGAGAGCAGATTCTTCACCCTGAGCACATGTGACAGATGTGAAAGGGTCTGGAGAAGGTTATGCTGCCTGTAACATTGTTCAGCATAACCATTTTGATTGTGGGTCAGTGATGGTCTGTGGAGGCATATCCATGGAGGGATGCACAGACCTCTACAGGCTAGACAATGGCACTCTGACTGCCACTGGGTATCGGGATGAAATCCTTGGACCCATTGTCAGACCCTATGCTGGTGCAGTGGGTCCTGGGTTCCTTCTGGTGCATGACAATGCACGAGAGTATGCAGGCAGTTCCTGGAGGATGAAGGAATTGATACCATTGAATGACCCCCAGGCTCGCCTGACCTAAATCCAAGAGAACACCTCTGGGATATCATGTTTTGGTCCATCCAACGCTGCCAGGTTGCACCTCAGACTGTCCAGGAGCTCAGTGATACCCTGGTCCAGATCTGGGAGGAAATATCCGAAGACACCATCTGTCGTCTCATTAGGAGCATGCCCTGATGTTGTTAGGCATGCATACAAACACGTGGGGCCATACAAACTACTGAGTACCATTTTGAGTTGCTGCGATGAAATTCCAGCAAAATGGACTAGCCTGCTGCATCATTTTTCCACTTTGATTTTCAGGGTGTCTTTGAATTCAGTCCTCTGTAGGTTGATAATTTTCATTTCCATCAAATGATGGGGCATCCTTACATTTCTAACACATTACCCAGTCCATATCAGTATAGATAAACAAAATTATATTTTTCCCCATTGAGATCTGATGTGTTTTCAAAGTGTTCCTTTAAAATTTTTGAGCAGTGTATAAAAAAAATAATTAATAGAAAGAAAAAAAATTGTAAGTGAGCATTTAAGTTACTTGATTTGTCTGACCTTTTACCTGCAATTGCCTAAATTGGTGAGAGAGTTTTTTCAAGCAGTTTTTGTTAATTGCCTTCTCTGAACATCCAATGTACTGTATGTTATTGTCATTTTCACATTATCCTGCAAAACACTTATTGTTAACGGGGTTTAAAATTGTGCTCTATTAAAGCCTAATTAAATGTTTATGATTGTGACCCACACACATGCAGTATCAGTGAGGGCTTTACCCTACTACTAGCTGCCTGGTATAGTTAAATTCAGGAGTTACAGTCTTAGGTCTCACCTACAGTGCCACTTACAAAAAATGTAGAGTATTGTGACTCATCAATTACTTTATGATGGCACACCATGATGGGTTCTCATTGGGGAACCAGTATTATTTATAAAGAAGCTGGGGGAGGGCATTCCTTCATATTGCTACATAAAAGAAATAGAGGTTAGTCTGTAAAAGTTTAAATTTTACTGACCCATGCCCATATTTTTCATCTACAACACAGGAGTCATCAGATAAAATATTTAGGCTAGCAATGTCATTAATACATTCATTTTTTTCATCAGACAAAAGTTGCAGCTACAGAACTGTACTGGCTGTGCTTACAAAAAGAGTTTCCCCCCTGTATGGTCCAAAAATTGGAAACATACATCAATTCTTTACTTTCGACATTAACCATGGTAAGACCTGTGAGTTCCTTGGTTTGTATTCTCACAATCCAAACTCCTCTCCTCCAAGTGTCAGCTTTTCAAAAGCTACCTAGAGTACATCCTATATTCCTCTGATCTGATCTAGCTTAGTGTATAAATACTAAAACATGGCATCCCACAAATGTATGCAGTAGATATTTAGTAGAGTTGCATACAGCAAAAATACATTGACGTGTTTTTGCCTAAGTAGCAGGGGCTGCAGTGCTCAATGTCGGATGTTAAATTTCAGAAAATAAGGTCTATTTGACCTAATAGGTTAATTAATCAATGCTGGGTGAATAGACAATCATCAATGATTTATGTATTTTATAACATATTTGTGGTTTAAATGTGGCATTTTTATAGGATTCAAAGTATATCAGTTTTTAAAGTGACATTGGATGATAAGCACATTTATTGCAGAAATATGGACATAATAGGAGTGTGCCATTGTGTATGACTGAAGTGACCAGTTAAAAATACCCTGCACTTTTTATTCCATGTAAACATGCTTAAAAACTGTATGTCATGTTGGAGCGTAATAACATGTAAGGTTTTACCACATTCAGCACTGCATGCCCTTGAGAACAATAATCTATTTTTAATAAATATACTATATAAGTACCAGACCACCCAAAACCGATCTGTCAGTTTTGACCAATGGCATGGACACACCGGCTTCTGCTTCAGCTGTGAGAAATCTTCTCCATGCTTTATTTCCTGTCTCTTTCCCCCCAACTATGACCATTACAAATATGTCATGCTCAGGGGTGGACTGACAACTCATGGGGCCCCCGGGCAATAGGGGATCATGGGACCCCTGTGTCCTTGCCCAAACTCAAAAAAGCCTATGAAAAAGGTACCAGGGGCATCTCATGGGGCCCCCTACTGACCCCGGGCCCTCGGGCAGTGCCCAAGTTTCCAAATGGTCAGTCCGCCCCTGGTCATCCTATCTCTTCTGGAATTGTTCTTTGATTGTTTCTTGGACAGCACAGGGAATCTAGAAGGTTAAGTATGACACCATTTTTGGCTTTGTAATGGCTGCACTGGGGGTCTTGTTTAGGAACTTAGATGGAGATAATGGACTTGGCAGTTAAAAGAAAAGGAGGAGTTTTTCAGGAGATTTATCCCACTATCTGAAATATAGTTCCTTGAACTAGACATGTAACAGCATCCATGGCCTGTAATGTATGGGATAGTCTCTGCTCATAACAATGCTGTTCATCAGTTAATCACTTCTTGCCCTTCCTGTCCAGGGCAATTTTTAGCTTTCAGCGCTATCACACTTTGA